CCTGATGACGCATTTTTATTTCCTTTTGCCCATTCAAAGAAATTACATCGATCATTTTCGGATGGTCCAACCGGTCTTAGTACAATTATTAACAAGATTAATAGCAACAAATTAAATACATTAATAAAACTTTGAACAGAATATATTTGATTAATAAGATTTGGAGCTTTTAATTCATATACTATCATTAAAGTATAACAAAAAACTATTTGTTCAAATCGTGAAAGAGACATTTAATATTGAAAATTAAAAGATACTAGAGGTTTTGTAAGCTCTTCACTTGCTTTCTAATAAAAATATCAATCAGCCACAGGAAAAACAGATATTAGCATCTATAAACCTAACTACTGCATATATTCACTATAATTCATATTAACCCAATTAGAGTATTTCTTTCTATATATGTTAATAGAATTAATTATGTGCTGCTTAATATAATTAAGTGGAAGATATCAATACAACAACTTAAGTAGCAAAGCTAGTTTAATAAATTCAATATTGATACTATACTCCTGATTATATGAGAGATTAACTTCATACTAGGCAATAGTTATAAATTGATCCTTCTAGTTTTCTATAGCAGAAAGATTAATTGTTTCAATTATATCATTATTTCTTTTACTATTAATATAATTATCATCCAAACTACTTTTACTATCATCAGAATATTCTAAAGAAACAATTGGCAATTCATCATTTGATAGTAGTCCTTTACTAACTAAAACATTTTGTTTTTTATAACACAGATTACCTGCAAGAACATCAACAGTTACATTTTCAAGTTAATCTACATCGATCCTATATTTTAAGCACCCACTTTCATTTAACTTCTCAACAATCATACTATAAAAATATTAATTCTTCTAATTACTATATCAATTTTGTAAGTAGTATGATACTGTTACAAGTGGTGTAAGCCTTCTTAATACACCCCAAGTAACATAAGACACGGAAGGGGGACTCCCAACGGTGTCAAAGTAGAATGTTACATCACTGTGACGGTTTGTTAAAGAAGTTTATTTTTAAAGCCAAAAGATCATATTTATTAAAGAACTAATAGAGAACTTAGAACTTTATTGAGTAATAG